CAGAATCACATAAAAAAAGTTAGTACACGTTAGTATTAGGATTTAAATCATCGCTAAGACTGTAGAGTTTATACACTTTTAGGAAGATCGACTCATTGAATAGTTTTGAGAGAGTCTTAATGAACACAGTAAACTTGAGATTTTTATCTATATGAATAGCTAAAGCATCTCACAAATTTCTTTATCATTTAGAGGGGTGTATTTTCCGCTGTTATTTATTATTTTTAGCATTACTCCATCATTTACAGGTGCTGGTTATTTCTCCATTTTACATATATGCTCTTTAAGGCTATCAAAAGTCACTTTTTCAATATTTACAGTCTACGTGAAACTCTTCATTCATTTAGAACTAATGACAATATCAAATGCTGAAATGCAATAACCTAGTTAGTAAAACTTCTCATAAACTAAAGATTTCGCTTACCTCAGGATAGGAAAAAATACATACTATGTATAGATTTGTTAAGTAATGTCTTCAAAAAGGTGAAATTATCAAGTAATTTCTGTTTATGACTCAAAGTGGCAATAGCCTTTAGTGGTTTGACTAAGACATAAATATGTTTTTCGAGAAGTGAGTCAGGGAAGTATTTCAAAATCTTTCTTATTACCAACAGCTTTTTACTGTCCTCTAATGAAAGATTGCTTATGAGATCAACATGATTGTCAGGGATCATCACTTTTTATAACTTGAGCTTGTCTACAGAAAAATTGTCAAACTCTGATGCCTTTTCTGCTTTAATAACTTTCTTTAATTTACTAACAGACTCATTCCTACTTATTTTAACAGAGAAAGCATTTGTGGTCTTATTTCCTTTAATGAGACATAGTAAAGTGATAGACATGTTTTTAGATTATATAGTATTTTTTGCGAAATGTTATTGGTTTAAAGTGCGGTATGTGAGAATAAGAGTAAAAATAATTTTATTTGTGAGTTTTAGATGAAACTTCAAAACTCTTAGCCTATAAAGAATTGCTCAAACATGCTGTATCTTTTTTTTCATATCTTTATAATTATGTAAAATGATTAAATAAATAAATATTATACCTTTAATAGAGTAATACTTTCGATTCTTAGAGCCTCTTCTAATTCTTTATATGTTTTCTCAGTAAAAGTAAAGCAAAAACTTAAACAGGATGCTTTTGCAACAATTACCCAATAGAAAATAATCACGTTCACAATTTGTACAGGTGATGGACTCTTTGAACATGATTTTATTAAGGTTGTAAGTTATCTCTAAAGTGAAGCTATCTTAGGTTCTTTAATATGTAATATTATTAACGATTATTGTAACAAAAATGGCATTATCATTTCTAATCGTAAACAATCAGAAAACATAAAGCTATTATGATGCTTGATCAGATTAGAAAGATAATACTAATCAGATGAAATCTCAAAATTTTTCCAATAATCTAAAAATATAGATTCCCTACTTGAGTTTAAAATCAAAAAAGTACATTCTATTAATTTTATACTTTTTCACTTTTTCAGCAATAGCATGGTATGTATTCTATGGAGTCTGTAAGTATCGATTGTGTGTTAGCTGATTCAAAATACTAGGACGCATTCTTAAACCATACTTAGTATAATAGGCATTGATTGTTTTTTGTGATACTTTTTCTTGAACTAAGTCCTTTAACCTATTTATTCTCTTATTTGTGGTATGGTTATATCTTGCATTTAATTTGACATCAAAAATAAGATCATTTAATTGATCCTTGGATACCAAGCAACTTCTATATTCTTAGTTTTCACTATAACAGTTCGTATCTACAAGATCATTACCTTGAGGCAAATCGGCAGTTATGATACCTAATGCTGCAATTATCTATATATCTTGTCTATCGATATTTATTATTATACCTTTTTCTAAATTCTTGATTTTATTTATAATCAGTTCCATTACATCGTCAAAAACTCTACCAAATAGAATGAAATTTAAAATGAAATGGTTCTTGAGTTGCTTTTATAGTTGTAGAAGCATATTACAGAACTGTAGATAAATTCTGCCTAAAGAATGATATACATTATGAAAAGTACCAAAGTCATTATAATATATATCTAACATCAATTTTAAGAGATTTCGCTTAACTATAATTTCCCATTCTGAGCTTATTCTACCCTTATTGAACTTGCAAAAATCCTTGGTAATTCGAAGCTGTAATAAAGAAGTTAGATCTTTAATTTAATATCATCAGAAGTTAATACTATTGACAAAATTTTTTCAATTCTTAAACCTTTATCCTTGTATTTAATAAAAGATCTTGTTGTGTATAATACTAAATATAATTTAGTAGTTATATCTTTTGAATTAACATTTTTTTGGATTGTAAATGTTACCTTGATTTATCTAAATTGAAGATTGACCGAAGAGAGGTGATTCTTGCCATATGTTGCTGTGTCAAAACTCTGATTTTGATTCAACTTTAATGTCAGAATCAAAATCCATTTTTTGTTGTAAAATTTTGTTATTTAAGACTCTTTTTATATGTTCAATCACTGATATAGTATAAACATCCTTGAATGGTACTGATGTCGAAGGGTTTTCATATTTTGAATAGGAATTCTGTGATCTTTTATCATTTGAAGTAGAAGTTGGTTATATAATAATCTCAACCATCAGATATTTTTAATGACATGTTCAAGTTAGAAGTCAGGATGTTGTAAGATATATATAAGATTCTCATATACTTTAGTAACTAACAAATAAAATTAATTCTATAATAATCACAAAATGATTATACAGCTTAACTATATTTACTTACCAATTATATATTTTGTAATCCACGTAAAAAGCAGCATTTCTGTGAAATTTTTAAAATAAGGACCATAATCTCCAGTTACTGATTAGAAATTAGTTTTACTGTCTACTATATTTTACATATAATCTGTTACTCTTCTTACCTGTTGTTCAACTTCTTTGATTATAATTGACTCGTTATTATCACTTATTGAGGTTACAAAATCAGACTCAGAATTAATGCTCTAAACGGTTCAGTTCAGTCTAGATTATAGGCCAATCCAAAACTGAACTGAAAATTTCAGTTCAGTTCAGTTCAGATTAAAATCTTAAAAATGCTAATTTGAAACTGAACTGAACTGTAAACTGATAAAAATCTGAACTTAACTGAAAATTTTAGATTAATCCAAAATTTCAGATCGTTTAGAATGATAATTTAATCGTTCCAATTGAACAATTTTCTTATTGTTCGTTTAGAACGATAATTTAATCATTCTAATCAAACGATTCTTTTATCATTTATTTGAAACAATAATTTGATTATTCCAATCGAATGATTTTTTTATCATTCTTTTGAAACAATAATTTTATCGTTCTAATTGAATGATTCTATTATTATTCGTTTGAAATGATATTTTGATCATTCCAATTGAATGATTCTTTTATTGTTCATTTGGAATAATAATTTGATCGTTCTAATCTAACGATTTTCTTATCATTCATTTGAAACGATATTTGATCATTCCAATCGAATGATTTTCTTATCGTTTGATTGGAATGATAATTTTATCATTCTAATCAAACGATTCTTTTATCGTTCATTTAGAACAATAATTTCATCATTCCAATCAAACGATTTTATTATCATTCGTTTGGAATGATATTTTGATCATTTTAATCGAACGATAAAAGAATCGTTTGTTTTAAACAATAAATTTAATCATTCTAAACAATCTAAAATTTTGAATTAATTTGAAATTTTCGGTTCAGTTCAGATTTTTTCAGTTCAGATTAGATTTATAATCTAAAAAAAATCTGAATTGAACTGAAAATTTTTAGATTAAATTTTTTGTAATCTGAAACTGAACCAAAGTTGATCTGAACTGAAAATTTTCAAATTAATCCAAACTGTTCAGAGCTTTACTCAGGATTATGAATTTTATTTGAAGTTTCATAATTTGTCTGTTTATATGATAAACCTTCTTGCAATTCCTCACTATCATCGTTTACATTATATAATAAAGTTGATTCATTAGTGTCTTGTGAGTCTTTTCTTCTTTGTACATCACCTATATTATCAGAGATTTTTGATGTAATGCATTTGCGTAATACAATTCTATTACTTATTTTCTTGGTTCTTATTTGTTTCATTAAGATATTGAAAACAATTATAACTTTCGAACTTTTTAACTTTCCAATAATATTATTAAAAAAAAAATTAAAGTTAATGATATTAAGAAAAAAAATATTGAAGTTTGATGTTATCAAGAAAAAAAAATATTGAAGTTTGATATTATCAAGAAAAAAAAAATAAGGATTGAAATGTTATCAAAAAATAAAAAAAAAAGTTTAAATTATTTTATATCGAATCTTATCAAATTTAGGTCAAAAATGATTTTTTTTTTGATCTATTCTGATTTAATCGATTTAATATAATAAAATAATGTAGATCTTTATCAAATATATTTAACTCGCTATATCAAATATTATTTATTTATTTATTTGCTTCATTTTACATAATATAATACTCAATTTTATTATATTTATTGATAGCGTTAGATTAAATTAAGCAGTGTTTTAATATCTAATTTTTGCAAGACATCTCTTTTATCGACTACAAATATCTTCATGTCAACTGTTATATTGTTTAGATTCTTAACAGCATCAATCACCTCTTTATCCAAAAGATTTTCTTAAACAAAGAGATTAAATGCTGATTGCACAAACTTTGTAAAAGTAATAACATTTTCAGGTTGATCTTTAAATGTTTTTTGTTTATCTATTGCATTCATATAGCATTTTAAGAAAGCTATCCAATAGCTTTCTATGATATATTCACCAACTTGTTATACCGTTAGCTGCTTTAACTTGGTTAATCTATATTGATTTGATTAATTTGATTGGTCTTCTTACTATTATCGAATTAGCAATTGATAGCAATACAATTATAAACTTTTACCTGTACTTTTTAATAAAATCAGGAATCAACTTTCTAAGTTCATGTCTCAATATTGCATTATAATCATGATAACTTCTAAAAGCCTATATTTGCAATGCTGTTCGATTTGATGCTCTGATAGATTGAATATTTGAGAACAAAGTTCTTACCAATGCATCTATGATCTGCTTATTTATAACTCTTGTACGAAAAAACAGACATTTTAAATGTAACTGAAGTGTTTCTAGTTCCTATTTAAATAAATAATATATAATAATTACAATATATAATTACAACAATTAATAACAATTTATAATAATTTATATTTTAATCTACTCTTTCTGAAAGCACGCTAAACTTGTCAGATTTTTTTTTGAATAATTACAGATTCATTACCACTTACTTTTATTATACTTAAGGTTAGGTTGATAAGATCTGGCTGTTGTACTAAATACATACAAATTTCAAGGTTGTTTTGAATGGACTAATTAAAAAAGATGAACCAGTGTTAGTTAAATTTGGTATTGATGATGGTTGTTGATCATCAATGTTTTCAGGAGATGATGATGATTGTTGATCATCAATGTTTTTAAAAGATGATGCTGACAATTGTTAATCATTATCGTATTCTTCAAGCAGATAGTATGTCTTTAAAAATTCATTTTATTGTAATGTAATTTTAGGTGAAGATCGTGATTTATTCATAATCAATTCGTATCTAAATTATATAAATAATATAATAAATTTAATATGGTTTTAAATAGAAAATTAATAATAATTTGTTGACTAAACTGTTAGTGAGAAACAATTCATCATGACATAATTCATATTATCATCACTGTTAGTCAAATTAGGTTCTTTATTCTCTCTTAATTTTTGCATTAGTATGTCTTGGTGTTGATTTTCTTTTACTTTCTTTAACATTCACATTTATAGTTTCAGTTTCTTCAAGAGAATTGTTTACTTTAGCAGGTTTTAAAGGTAATTCAATAGTTATATTATTATAGATAAATAATAAATAAATATAATAGAAGTAATATAATACTAAAACAAATTTATCTTATCTCTTTTGGTCTTTCCTCTATTATATTTTTGTGATTAGACCATTTTGGAAAAGAAAATAAATTGGAAATTGTGAAAGGTTAAACAAGTATCTAAATAGATTTATACTAACTTTTAATCATAACGAAATCATGAAATTTAATCATAATCATACATACTTACCAAAAATACGTTATTTTATCAATCAATAATGTGACTATTCAGTAATACATGCAAATTATTTTTTTTTTTGAAAAAAATATATACAACTAAAAAATCAACATAAATTAATTAATTTAATATCAAATAAATATCTTTAAACTTAACTAAAACTTGAAATTAACATGTCTGCAAGGGTTTCTGTTGATAAAGTCAAATTATATTTCTCTACTAACTAATTTCTTTTCGTTTAAATATATTCTACGTTTAAAAACTGTCTAACGTTTGTTTGATTTTGAATTTGAGTTAACATTTCTAATAAAGGTTAATATATAACATTCTATTTATTATTTTATTATTACCTAATCACAATATATTCATTATATGAGGCTAGTACCACAACCATACATAACGCTAGTCCTAGTGAAAATTTTTAAACTGATTATTTTACTGTTGATCATTCTCGTAATGAGCAGTTTAAAAATTTTTGCCAGGTCAGCATTATACATAGTTGTAAAATGAGTGTATAGCGTCAGCACAGCGAATTTTTTTAAATTGATAATACTAGCCTTATAGGATTTTTTTGATACAACGTGATCACAAAACAATTATGCTTGATTTTTTATTAGATAATATAATTAATATGTAGTAATTATGAAAATTCTATACTTTACGATATTAATACTATGATTTAATAATTCAATACCTTAATTTTATATCTTAATTTATATATTTATTATATAATAATATTACAATGCAATTAAAAATATAATTATCATATTGTAAAAATGTTGTAAAAATGTTAATAATTATATAGTAATTATGAATTTTATAAACTATGCAATTATAATGTTAAAATTATACAATTATATCATAATAAATATATAGTTAAAAAAGTATAAGTTTCAGCAAAGTAATAATATTTTAAATCTTATTTCTAAAATTTTTCATTATACAAAATTAATTAAAACGGAAGATATTATTTTAAATAAAGAAAAAACTGTATGTAAAGGTACATGTATACTTGATATTGTGACTAAAAAGAAGGTAATTTATTATTTAAAAAATTAGGACTGAATGCCATATAATTAAAAAAAAAGGAAGTAACTAACTATATATGGATGACTATAGAGGAGGTCGACTGTATTTAAATTATGTTTTTGCAGAATTAGATACAAATGGATGTTCTTTATTTTCACATTGTGATCTGAAATATATCATTTATAATATTAGAAAACTAATGTACAAATAGAAGATATTGTTCAACTATTAAATTATTTAATAAATTAAAGAACATTAGAGTTTCATTTATATTTGCAATTAAAGATAATAGATATTCATGTTCTTTTTGAAAGTTAAGAATATATAAGCTTTATGCTATATTCTTCAGTTTCAGTTTCATTATTAATAAAGGAATAAATATAGGTAAGTTGAATTCAAACTTCTTTAAGAACTTTAGCAGAAGAGAGATACTTTCTATCATATTCAAAATTTAGTTTTTGTACAAGAAAAAAATCTGCTAAATATTTATATTTAAGAAAATTAGTAATAATATTATCTTTAGTTTTAATGAAAGGTTTAAGTAATTTAAGTAGTTTATTAAAAATATAATTACTATTATTTAAAAGATATTTAAAAGTTTCTAAAAAAATAAAATTTTTTGTTTTGTATATTTTCAATAATTTTTGAGAAAAAGAAAAAGAGTATTTTATATAACTCAGTTTTTTTAATTTTTGATATAACTATCAACTTGACTATTTTATTGATAAATGATAACATTAGATCTTGAATTACGATAATTTGGCTTGTTTACCATTCTTTATAGTATATTTTAATCATGTTAAATATATTCAATAACCAGTCTAATAAGTATTGTACCTAGGATTAGAGTTCCGGACGAGTCGAGTTAACTCACGAGTCAGATAAGCTGAGTCGAGTTCAAATCAAGTCGAGTTGGTGTTT